AAACCGTTTTTTACCCGTATTTGTAGGTATATCTTAAGATTTTCATTCATAGTGAAGGATGTTGTGTTTTTACTACACCAGAAAATCAAATTTGCAATATATTGAAAAATGATTTTTTTTCCAGGTTGTAGCTTTCGATATGAATGAAAATCTTATTAGATATATGGGAAAAGCACTTACAGAAAATTGTAGAAAAGCGGATCATGACATTGTACACAAATTATTATTATTTTTATTTGTTTATTGATTTTAAGGAAGATAAATTTATCTTTTAATAAATATATACCATTAGAATATTTCAGAAACTATTTCGATTTAAATTTTGAAAATTTGTACAATGGCGTTGGTGGATATGCTCTCCTCAATTAAAATAACATACATCATATTTGTTATTTTAAATGGAACACCCTCTATAATAATAATATAAGACATTCCTACTTTTAAAATTTACCGTTTTCGAGACATTCTTTTTTTAAAAAATAGGTAGCACAAAGCAGTAGTTACCGAAAAGGCATGCTTATTTTACAGTATATAAGAAAGCTGGAGCAACAATAATCAGGAGAGATAGCTATACCCGTAAGCTTCTCGTCCATATTTTCCAAGTGGGTTAATTACAGACAGGGTGTTAGATATTTAATGGCGGATTTGGTTAACTTCAAACAATTGTAAGTCCATTTTTTCAAATGTAATACCCTGTATGTATTTTCATATACTTAGGAAAATTTTTATTCTCTTTCGAATGGTCCTATGGTTCCCTATACCCATCTCTTCTAATTGTTCTAGTGCTCCCTATACCCATATTCTCTAGTTTTCAAATTACTTACTGTTGTTTGTAAAAGCAACTAAAATCGTTTAATTTTCTACGAAGGTGGCTGTGAAATTCTTAGTAGAACTTAAAAACAAATAACACAAGTTAATTTTTGTCACTCAAGCACTAAACTGACAGTTTAGTAATTAACTACTTTGATTCTCAATGTCAAGTATTAAATATTATTTTTATTAAGAATGAAAAATGAAAATACGTATTCAAATTACGAAGAATTTTAAGAAATTAATTGCAATACGGTAGTAAAAAAAGAAACTAAACAATAAATATAATAAGTAATGAACGATATCAACTGATAATAAATGTATTAGTTTAACGGTAAATTTAAAAGCCTTATGAAATTTGAATTTGAAACCGTCATAATATACAGGGAGTAATAAAGAAGTTGTTGTCAACTTCCGGTATAACCGGAAGTGCTATGTAGATGTCTTTATTTTAATTGAGGAGAGCATACCCAATAACGCTGTTGTACAAATTTTCAAAATTTAAATCGAAGTAGTTACCGTGAGACATATGTATAGTTTTTAATTATTTTAGACATATAGGCTTGCAGATAGTGTACTCCTCCTTTCAAAGAAAACTATGACTTTGTGGACACATTAATTTTGAATTTTGTTTTCCAGTGGCATTTGTCAAAAGGGGGATTTTGGTAAAAAATGCAATCAGACCTTACAGACTTGGAGAAAAGGTTGTTAGGAGTGAACTAGGTTACTGTTTATTTTTTGTTTTTCTTTATACCTATTAACCAACCTCGCAACATATTACTTGTTGTCTATACTGTGGCCCCTTTACTTGACAGTAATTGTTTCTCGCACCCTTCAGAGTACAACATAATTAAAAAGGAACTTCCTACTCGATAGAGGGTTTGAACCCCTAAAATACCGCCCCTCGTACCTACGTCACTGGTCTTTTCTAATTTTTGTTCCAGATAGCTGTTTTCAGGCACAAATTTAGTTTTGACGTTTGTTTACTCATTTCTTTCATTTTAATTTTCTCAGTCAATTATAGAGATTTCTGCAGTGACAGAAAAGTTTGTCAATTCTGTATGAGCGTAAATATAACCTTACCCATTACGTAGGTATATTAATTTTCTGTGATTGTCGTTAGTAATTTTTAATGATTTTTCGAAAAACAATAATACTAATGATGACGATTGATAAGTTGAATTTGTCGCCTATAAAGCAATCGCTGTGAAATTTGCTTACCATATGAATGACAAAGAAACAGCTTGTCAACATATGACAACTAATAATTCAACAAATTGAATGTGTCAGTTCACTATTAGAACTGATGCTGAGTAAATAATAATGAGAAATTTATTGGTTGAAAAGATTCGAAAAATGAGTAAAGATAGAAAAAACGATATGAGTGAATCAAAGATCAGAGTAAATAATGCAAAATCTTATATCTTCTAAAAAGTTTTTAAATACAAACATAAATATTCTTCAAATATATCTACAAGAAAGTATATATTTCTAAAAAATACTCGCTTAAAAGTATTGCAAATACAATTACCAATACCATTTGAGTAGATTGTTTCAAGTACTACTTTTACTTAACGAGTATGCCTGATAGATGGAAGGCACACTTATGCAATGAAAGTAGATAAATCAATACTCACTTTATTCTTTAAGAATGATTGACGTCAGTAAGAAAAGCTGCATGGTTATGAACCTATAATCGTTTTTACGTAGGAAACCTTATAGGGTGCTTCCATGAAAATAGGGCAACTCTTTTTTACATACTGTGCAATTTTAAATTAGTGTGATTTATGGTTTATCGATGGAATAATTAATGTTCAAAAGGATCAGTCACTTTGTTTAGTATTTTAAAAGAAATTCAGAATTTTGTAAATTTAGACGTATAGGGACTGACACATATAGCTACGGACTGACGAAAATTATGCTGATATACTGTTACATAAGATTTTTTAAGACAGTTAATGTAGTAAAATAAGACTCATATACAAGAATAGCTTCACTTTTATTAGGAACGTATTTTAGACAGTATCATTAATTAACTTAAAAAATGTTATTTTACAATACAACCACGTGTAGCCTTAGCTAAAATTCTTTAAGACGTAAAAACTAAAACAAACGAGACTCTTTGCTCTATGAGGTAATAATTAACAAAAAAAGCTTCTTGCCTATAAAATAATCAATCTTAATCAATGAATCAAGCGAGGGACTGATGGGTTAGGGACTGACGATTCAGAAGAAAACCTACGCACTGAATTACAAAATGGCTGACGCAAGGCGAGCCGCATTTGCAGATAAGTTCATGTCTATATACTTTAAAATCAACAGATTCTCATTCACGATAAAAGCCACGTAATTTCAAAATTCCCAAGCGGCTAGGGCCTGATGGTTAAAGTCGCGGACCCAAATTTAACTTACATAAATGTAATGTTTTTTCGAAGTATTGTTATTTTATTGATGTTATTAGGCAAATAGTCATATTTTTAACTAAAAAGTAAAATTTATTTAATCTAATGCAGTGAAAAATGCCTGTGGACATAGAGTTGCCCTATTTCCATGGAAGCACCCTGTAGTAGGTATATTCATTTTTATATGCCACCGGCTACAAATTAAATAAACTCAGCAGGGGCAAACTTTCAAACAGGCGCAGCGCCTTTGGTTTTTGTAAGAAGAGAAAGCTCGTTTTCAAATAATTATATTTAGCTTCACGTCTGTGTCACGTCGTGTGATTGATTTTTCATCCATTTTTCATTGCCCGATTGAGTTCAGGTTTTAGAAGTGCTTGTTTTTTTTTCACAACAGAACATAGCTACAGAAAATTAAAAACAAATTGAAAATGAAATAAAAAATTTAAGTAAAAGAAAGTTTCGTACTAAATGGTACAAAATAACATTTGTTCCATCATTAATTCGACATGTTAATTTTGTTTATGAAATTATGGGACGGTCCTTACTGGCTACTAGTGTAAATAATGTTTCTAGTTTGTGAGATTGCTTGTATATAAATTTTCAATTAGTTAAATCACCAATAAAGTGCATATTTCTGCCATAAAATTCAAAAGTGTCCTCAATTTTATGCCCAAAATCTCAATATTTTGAGTTAATAAGATATGTTGTCTATCTCCTAATTTTTTAGCACATTACATGAAATTTATTTTATTCCATTTATTACAAAATTTTTATTCTAATAAAATTGGTAAACTTAATATTTTTTGTTTGATTGTCCTATTTTTAGCAATTTTAACCAACTAAGAATAACCGTATTTGTACTTGAGTTATTATAATGTAAAATGGTAATGTTCTCATCTATACTCTTATTTGCGTGCAACTGTATGGTCAATGACCAATGAATTTTTCTGGTATAAACAAACGTAGGTATGTCTGCCCGTTAGAGTGACTGCGATGCAACTCGGAAAAGTTGGAATGAAACTAATGGCACGAAATCATGAAACCAAAATTAATGGTTGCGTTGCGACTATATTATAGTTGCATGCGATTTTTGTCAAGAGCAGTTCCTTGTGTGTTCTGACAAAAATAGTATAGTTTATTAGGTAATAAGAAAATTCCGCCAGCTTTTCTTTGTGACCACAAAAACGTAAACGTTATTTTAAAATAAGAAATAGAAAAATGTTCTTGCTTATGCAATTATATGGTAAATCATTAGGAATTAATTTTCCGAAGCCTCTTTGTGTGATTTTTCTTAAAAGCAGGACGAATCTAAAAACATTCTTGTATTTTTCTGGACCTGCCGTCAAGTGTCTTCATGAGACGACATCAAATTCCGAATATTATTATAAGGTTATGGTAGGAAAAGACAGCATGAACGAAGTGAACATTGTAACACAGACGAAGTGAATTTTGTCGTGGCCATGTTCTGCCTTTTGTTCGCCTATCACGTAGTGGTTAGCTACGCCGGGATTCGTTTCAGGAAGTAGATATCCATACATCTAAATGGACTTTGTTGGAGCATACGTAATCTTAAAATGTAGCATTGTACTACAAATGGCGTTTTCCGCGCCATTTGTGGTATTTTATGGAACTAATAATGGTTACCAAGTTCAACATACATATATAGGCATATATGACAACAACTAAGTAGAAAACCTGTTGCGTCACTCGAACTTGGCGAATAAATACGATGAGAGTTCCTGGTGTATCTAAATGCGTATTAACTTAGAAATCCTAGTGCAGTACATTTCCGTCTGAGTCGTATTGAAACGGCATTTACGTGTGTTTATCGTTTATAAATGCTAACTCAGTTCATTTCAGCCTGAAGGGACATAGTGAGTAAGTTAACCACTTTAATTGCAATAAGCAGCAAGTCAAAATATTACCAAGTCTTGCTAAGCTTTCAGATACCCCTATTAGAACAGATTTCCCGTTTAGTAGTCAATGTTCTCATTCTGAACATGATGAAGGTGACGTATTTGACAAACTTCCTTTGGATAACTTCAATCCTATTGATGTAAATTGCCCGCATTAGTGATCAAATCAATATTCTAGAGTGGGTAACATAATGTTGTTTTTATTATTGACTTTTTTGAGGTATTTCCCTTCTTTCTCTTAAGAATTACTTTGTTCATGTGATTCTTAAAGTTAGACCGCTCTCTATCTCAATCCCAAGGCCATGAATATTTTCAACATTCATTGGCTCCTCATTTGCCAGCGCACACTTGGCTGTCGAACACCTTTAATTGTTTTATTTACTTTCCACTGGTTGGTCAAGTTATTAATGACTTCCTGCAGTACTTGCTACAATATTTTCTAGAATTTATTTTGGTTGATATAGTTTAAGATTGGCTGCAAAAAGGCGGATGGTTCGACTGTAGCTCAGTTCCAATATGAGCTCAATAATAACCACCTGAAGTTGGCATTCTTGACTTCCCTGAGGAAATAGAAAACCAGGTTGCTGCAGTTTCATTATTTTTAGTTGCAGCTATGCAGGTTTTCACCCATTTTAGTACTCATCTACCGATCTGTATCCATTTTTGCACCATGTACCTACTTTTATGGTTCCAAGACCATTTGTTCTTAAGGTAGTACTATTGCTAGGCGATTTATTTGTGAAGTTAATGACATTTAATTTATACGGGGTGTAGATGATAGTCTATGTCAGCGCTGTCCAACTTACCATAGGCCGCGGGCCATACTTTCTTCACCAAACATTTCGGTGGCCAAGAAGATTTATAAATGTGAAGTCAGTTTATGTTAATTAAAAAATTATTTTATTTATACTAAAGATAAAACTCTAAAATATTCGTAATTTATTAATGAGAACATTGTGACCGTAATTGTTTAGCAATAATATTAATTTAGTAACATAAATTTATTCATAGTAAAATGTACTCGCGGGCCGCCAGTTGGACAGCCCTGGTCTATGTGCATGTATGCCAAATTTTAGTGTTTCGCGGCTTCAATTAATATGAGGAAATTCGCACAGGGGTGTAGGAAACTATATAATTTTCTATATGCAGTAGAATCTCTATTACCCGAACATCAAGGGAGACGCCAAAAAATTCGAGTTGTAGAGTTTTCGACTTATGGAGGATTTTGACTTGGACGGATTTTGATTCGACTTGTAGAGGTTAGGATTATTAGATACTTACGTTGTTGGCAAATCCTTAAAGTTGATAACTTAGTTTTCTTCGAACTATGGACGTAATAAGTTTCAAATTATCGAGCTGTGAAATAAAATATTGCTCGAGATACAGAGTTCCAATTTAATTATTCGAGTTATAGAGGGAAAATATGTACCAAAATGGCTTGCAGAGACTCACTGATTATTTCGACTAATAGAGGGTTGAGATTTCGAGTAATGGAGGTTTTGGGGATTGAAGGGAAGGAAACAAAACATTTCTCGAGTTTTGGGGGTTTCGACTTATCGAGGTTCGACTTAAAGAGGTTCTACTGTATCGATTAAACGGCATTTGAGATTTTTTTAAAAAGAGGTATAATTCGTAGAAGATTCAAAAATTGTGGCCTTTACCATGGGTACGAAGCAATATGAAGCGATACGATAACACCGAAATGTTCGTTTCCGAGGATACTCCTGTTTCATGATGGGCTTTTCTGCCGTGGTCGAATTCTGATAGCTACAGAAGCTCTTCATCATCTAATAGACACCGGCCGTGACAGCCTACTATTACTATTTGATTATGATGATGAAAAACATTATATTAATCAATAAACAAATCAGTGACGAAGAATATAGCATTATCAAGAATTCGTTATGTCAATAGTAGATTTTGTGTACTAATCCGCATCAATACATAATTCATTTTTAGTTATGAGTGTAAAGAGAGTATTACCTTAAAGCCATCTGGCAAGCACCTCAAAGATGTTTTCACGATGATCTTCTTTTACCCAGCCCAGGAAGTCATTGACAGTAGAGCACAGGTGGCTTTAGATTTAAAGTTCATGAATTTGTGTCCCATACTTTATTTTCACATCACTTCATTGCTTCACAATTTACCATATGGCACGAGTATTTATGTTTAGTAAAGAAAATCAAGTAAAATAACATGTAGAATAAAAAGTTCGTTGTGTTCAGTATTCTGTCAAAACCGATTTCGATAATTCTGAATTTCAGTGGGATTCAAAAACTAAAATGTGGCAATTTGTTACGGATGTTGTTTACTACGCTGTGTAATTCAGAATAACATGTGCTTAATTTCAATAAATGACGGAGTCGACAGCTGTTACTGTAACAACCGAATAGAAAAATAAAAACACTTGAATGTTCCACACTACAAAAATTTCATGCTCATTTTGGCTTTTACTTTATATTCTTCTGAAGATGTTACTGATAAGGCATAGCTAAGGGGTAAAATCAATCAAGTCTCTTATTTTTCTATTTACACTAAAAATAAGATGTAAACGAAATATTTTTATATTATTTATATCCGAATATACTATGCATGTGGATTACAATAACGAACGCACACATTATTGCACGAGTTCGGTTTTGCGCTGGTTTCAGCTAGTACTTTATCTTATGCCTTTTTGCTTGAAAGGCTGTGTGCCCATAACATACATATATATATATAGGAAAACTTAAATTTAATAAAGGAGAACTATTACATCAATTTAATCGTTTAGTAAAATATTTAATTTATTGTTTTTATTAATATAAAGTTTTTATAACGGTTAAACTGATGTAAATAGTTCTCCTTTATTAAATTTAAATTTGCCTTCAAAAACTTAAATTCTTACCTTAACCCCTTTCATTGTTTCCACCCCATAAAATTGGTAAACTCAAAGTATTTAAGCTAATTTTGCAACAATTTTAATCAAAATATCTTCACCTGAAGAAGCCAATGTTTTGGTGAAACAAATGTGAACTATTAATATATATTTTCTTGAAACTTTACTTTCGTTTTCTTTAATTAAAATATAAAAAATTGTCCTTTACTGTAAAGATCGTAATAATGCTTAAGTTGGCCGATCTAAATGATATATAAATTCTACCGATAAGGATAAAATATCGTCTAAACCGTAAAGTGGAAGTACTATAACTATTTATACACAGGGTGTTAGATATTTATTGGCAGATTTGGTTAACTTCAAACAATCGTAAGTCCATTTTTGAATGCAATTAAAATAGTTTATTTTTTTATACAGATGACTGCGAAATTCTTAGTAAAACTTCAAGAACAAATAAGATAAGTTAACTGTTAACACTCAAATGCCCATATTGACAGCTTAGTAATTAAATATTTGGTAAAGGTCTAGATGATGGGGGGATTGAAAGAAGAGGTCCCCCCACCACTGTACCATAAAAAGTTCGTGGCGGTCTCACGCCCATAAAAAGTTATAGGGGTTCAAGGTTATACATTTATAGGCATGTAAATATTTATATAGTCATTCTTAAACAATATTCAAAGGTAAAACTAATGAAAAATACATAAAAATATTGAGAAAATTTATTTAAATATCTTTATCAATAGGGTAGGTTAGGTTAGGTTATCGGGTTTTGTTCAAGAGACCACCCTCTTTCGATCCCCCACCTCCACCCGCTTGAAAATATTGTTTTTATTGAATTTTATTTGAATTATAATGTATGAAAATTGTCAAAATAATCAACTTTCAACCCCCATAACTTTTTATAGGGGTGAGACCGCCGCAAATTTTTTATGGGGTTTTACTCAGGTGACCACCCTCTTTCGATCCCCCCTACCCTCTTTCGATCCCCCTACCCCCACCACCATCTAACCCCCATAACTTTTTATGGGGGTGAAACCGCCACGAACTTTTTATGGTACAGTGGTGGGGGAGACCTCCCCTTTCGATCCCACCCATCCGCGCCCCCTTTGGGGGTGGGGGCCATCATCTAGACATTTACCAAATATTTTGATTCTCAATATCAAATATTGAATATTGTTTTTATTATGGATAAGAAATAACAATAGTAAAAAAGCAATTAAGTGATAAATAAAAAAAAATACAACGTGTAATTATACAACACGCTACTGAAGTGAAACTTCTGCAAACACACAAACATACCGCGATAGGGGTTAAAGAATTGACGTCAATGGCGTTGTTTAGACTGTAGAGTGTAGGCACACATACACAAACACATACAAATACATTCATACATTTTGTTAGGACTACATTATTTACGCCGGAGTTGCCTGTAACGAACGTTGCATTGAAGAGCGCTCACGGCTCAAGCGATCTCCACTACCATCTCGACTACGTGGCCGAGTAGAGGGGGGACATCCGTTGCATTATTTCGTTACACAGCAACTCGTATGAAACGAACTTACCCTACCGTGGGTAAAGAAGTTTCACTTCAAAATTAAACAATTAATGACATCGGCTGATAATAATTAAATGTATTCGTTTAACGTTTCGAACTGTTACCCAATTGCTGTAAACTGATATCGTTAATTATTTAATTTTATGTCGAAGTTGTTTCCGAAATATTCTAATAGGTGGTCACCGTGAGACACCCAGTATAAATATAATTTAGAAGTATTAATTTGGAAAATAGTTAACAACTAATAAATAATTTGAGCAGTGTTAAAAGTAGAGGATTTGTGTTTACTCGGGTCGCCGTATAAATTTCTATTCATTTTGCCCGAACGAAATCGATACGTTTTAATAGAAACAATAAAAGAACATTGCGTCCTTTTGGAAATGTTCCAACATCAGACGTTCCTACATATTTATATGTGCAAACATCTTGGCCGCTAACGCGGTCGTAGGTATCCCGTTATAAATCACTAGCTGAATTTGTATCTGTTTCGTTTATTTCTTAAGCTGATACTTAAATAATTAAGATGTTT